CAATGGGATGGGGACCCGACCCCACCCCCACATCCATACCCCCATATCCATAGCCCCCATATCCTGTATCCCGTATCCCATACCCCATATCCCCACATCCCATATCCCATACCCCGTATCCCATACCCCATATCCCGTATCCCATATCCCATATCGTGTATCCCATGCCCCATATACCATACCCCATATCCCCACATCCCATACCCCATATCCCGTATCTCATACCCCATATCTCGTATTCCATATCCCATATCCCATACCCAGTATCCCATATCCAATACCCCATATCCCATACCCCACATCCCGTATCTCATACCCCATCTCCCGTATCCCATACCCCATACCCCCACATCCCATATCCCATACCCTGTATCCCATACCCCATACCCCATATCCCCACATCCCATACCCCCACATCCCATATCCCGTATCCCATATCCCGTACCCCGTAACCCGTATCCCATATTCCCAAATCCTCATACTCCATATCCCATATCCCATATCCCGTATCCCATATCCCATATCCCGTATCCCATATCCCATATCCTGTATCCCATACCCCATACCCCATATCCCCACATCCCATACCTCGTATCCCGTATCTCATACCCCATATCCCGTATCCCATATCCCATACCCCATATCCCGTATTCCATATCCCATATCCCATATCCCTTACCCCACATCCCCATACCCCATATCCCCATATCCCGTATCCCATATCCCATATCCCATACCCCATATCCCATATTCTACACCCCACATCCCTACAGTTCATATCCCATAACCCATATCCCCATACCCCATATCTCTATATCCCGTATCCCATATCCCATACCCCACATCCCCATACCCCATATCCCATATCCCGTATCCCATATCCCGGATTCCATATCCCATATCCCATATCCTATAACCTACATCCCTACAGTTCATATCCCATACCTCATATCCCCATACCCCATATCCCTATATCCCATACCCCATACCCCATAACCCACCCCA